GTTAAAAATCACGTGATTAATCACAAAATGACTTTAAATTTTCGGACTATTTTTGAGTATAGATGAAATGTACCATACATGTATTATAAAATAATTATCAAATTGATTATTATATTAATTTAATTAATCTAGTTTTTTATACAAATAATATATATATGATAATCAAATAAAAGAATAAAGTTAAAAATCACAAGATTCTATTTTTTTATATTTTATTTGAAAAATATTATAATATAAATATTATTAATTTTCTTTGTTTAATTTTTAATCAAGAGTTATAAGATAGATTAAGCAATTTTGTTAATATTTACCATATAATTTATATAAAATTTTTTCATATTTTGAATTTTTAAGAAATTTTCATTAGTTAAATTGAATTTATTAATTCAATAATATTAAGGATTTTGTGACCACTTAGTATACTAATTCAAGTAGAAAATCTATCAATTCTATAGTTTACTGTTGCATTAATTTTATAATAAGATTATATATTATAATAGATAATTGAAGTTATAACTGACTTTTTTTAGGATACATATTTATAATAATAATTATATTGATATAATCAAAATATATAATCTAGTTCCTTTTCATTATCAGGTGTACTATCATTTCTTACTGTTTTTCAAACTTGTTTTGCCAATGATTTTAGTCTCTTTTTGTAACTTCTGTAAGCCTGTTGAATAAGCATTACACAAAAGTTTTCATATTATATATTTTGTTTTCATATTTTATTACTTTTATGATCTCTTTAATTATAACATTAACATAATCTTTCTCTCTTTTTTATATTTTTTCTTACAGAATCCCAATACTCATCTATCTAATTATTCTTTTAACAGATGCATAATTTACTACTACTCTTGCATTACGTTGCAGATATTCAACAGGTTTAGTGGTAATGGAAGAATAGTCTTTGCCATCATTTTTTAGATGTTTGAGCAGAATAAATAAATAAATTTGCAATATTAAACGATTTATAGCAATTTATCTGTTTAGCGGTTTATAATAGTTTTGTAGTAATTTATTAAGTATATGTTAATGAATATCATTTAGCGTTTTAGCCGATCCGATTTATGTTGATTATTGCCTTTCGACATACAATAATTTCACATTTTGGTTATATTAGTTAAAAATCACTAGTTTGTTGCGGTTGTTGCGGACGAAAACTTCATTAATTCAATAGGTTTAAAAATGCCCAACTACGAGAACGTGTCCACCTGCTCTATTTTGTCACATATTCAAAGGAGACTTTATATTCATGTTCATCATTGGTTAGCAGTGCTTTTCGACACATGAATGTGATCAGATTTGTTATTCAACCCTTTGCCTGATCAACAATTAAATCAGTGTTGGGAAATGGACACTTTTACACTTTTTCCTGTCCAAAACCTTGTCCAAAAATATTTAAAATCAAAAAATGTGTCCAAAACCCAGCACAATTAGAGAAACAAAAAAATTTCAAAAAAGGTCCAAATATTTATAATTTAAACAAAAAATTTGTTCAAAATTTGAAATGGTTTGTGTTAATTGCATAATGTATGTATAAATAATAATAGCCCTAATTTTCACACTATCCTTTTTTTTATTCTTTTTTTAATTACAGATAGACGAACCTTTGAATCACGAATCTTGGTCGTTAGTCCTAGAAAGGACATATCTTGGTCAAGAAACATACCCTACGTTGATATATCCAAGAGATATTGAAGAAGCAATCTTTTCTTATATCAACACACAAAGGTGTAGAGCTAGATATCCCGGACGAATCATAATTCAGAAGGGATTTAGGTGGCAATAAAATTGTTCGGATGGTCGTAGTGACTAGAATGAAACCGTGGGTAATCATTACCTACATAGTTACATCTCGACGAAGGTATTGGGAAAGAGATGTTTATTAATATGAATGTAATTATATTGAATGTATTCAAAATATTACTTTAACAAGATAATGGTTTCTATTGCGATATTACTAAACCGTCCTTCGCGAATAAAATATTTCAGGAATCACTTAATATAGGAAATAATGTAGGTTGAGAGTATCCAAAAAATGAAATAATGGTGGGACGCTTTTCAGGGGATAAAACAAAATTTGATAATTAAGTACAATAAGCGAATCGAAGGACAATTAAACTATAGACAGTGATCAAAGTAAAAGGACAAATCTTCTTATGAAAATCTCGCTCCATTGCAATAAAATGTGTGCAAAAAAACACACGAATTTCTTTAAACTTGTCTTCATTAATTTGACCTTCCAAGAAGCTATGATTAATGCTTTTAATGATGTGAGAATATTGTTTGAGTACTATGAACCCAAGAAAAATGAGGAGTAAACGACCAACGAATTCACTCTTGTGTCCTTCTTCGACGCCTTCCTTGATTACCGCGAACAATGGTTCAACAATTTCCTTGAAAGTGATCTCCGAGTGGTTCATAACACGCGCAGAAGCTTCTGCGATATTCGGATATGTGAAGACAAGTACCAATCGATTTGCGATCAAATCCAAAATTACAGGCGCGAATAACGCAATCATGTTTTGACCTGACGTTTGTCCGTGTAAATGACATTTTAAATTCAATACTACCAAGGAGTTTGCAGATTGCCAACATAAATATTTCGAACAAGTTAAACTCGTCATGAATAAATACAACGTTTGTGAAGTGCATTTACAATATTTATTATCCTTGCATTAGCCACATTATTTTTAAATTTAACTACTGTATAATTAGAGTGGAGAAGACAGAAATCATTGGAAAGATTGGAAAAAGGAAAAATCGAAAGTATGTACTACCCTTGCGAATGTGTTAAGGAAATATTTATTAATACTTTCCACTACATACGATAGAACCAGATAGTGTCAGACGCAATTGAAACAAACGTCAAAATACATGAGAAATTTAATTCTACATTTGATGAATCTGGTGGGAGCTCTCTTCAAAAGCCTCTAAGGCTAAAACGGAAATTGTCTAAGCGCGAAACAGGCATATCATATGAATTTGTAGATAACGACAATATAGATGATATCGAAGAATTTCATGCAGAAAAGAAATTAGAAGACCATCGGATTATGATGGATTGGCACTCCTATTCGAAGAGTCTAAAGAAGATATGATTATAAGAAATATTGATGAAGAGACCCTCAAGGAGGAAAGTAAATTGCCACTAGCAAGTGGTGACAAGGTAACCTTAATATTAATAGGCGTCACAGCGCAGCCGTGACCCTGATGATGTCAGCGATTGTAAATAACTATTATATTTTCCATGATAAGAAAAATCACATGAATTATGAAATCAAAGAATACCGTAAAATTTAATACTGAACTTTTAAATAATCCATGTTTACAATCTAAAACATCCAAAAAAGTATTGACATTGAAAAGGAAATTTTATTCCTGTGCAAAAAATTCAAGAGAAATCTTTACAAATTATAAATCTTAAATCAACAAGATTTACCAATTTATATGCCTTTTAATAATAGTAGTAAAGAAAAGGCTCCGATGTTTAATAATTGTCACTTTCAAAATGTTAACTTAAATAATTTTTATTTATAATCATAAATGCTTGTAATGATGTAATGCTTTTTCTATAATAAAATATATTAAATATTTTGCGGTACGATTTTCGCATTGATATATCACAGTAATTGCGTCATGTTACTATTTTCACGGAAAATTCAACTCCGATAGTGACTCTGGTAAAATATCAATATGAAAAATCAGGGTAATATGTTGATGTATCAGTTGAAGTGGAAGTGTAAATCAGTTAAAGTGCAATTAAATTAATCAGTTTCATTGTCGATTTTTGTCCCTTATAAATTTAACGAAACCCACCTTCTTATAAAAAATGTATTCAATAGTAAGGAAGATTCTTGATAAGTTCCATAGATATCCGAACTATCCAGTGTTACCAGAAAGGACTCCAGAAGAAAATAAGTGAGTGCGTTTTACTGTGACTCTTGAGCTACCCAGTGTTGACTCATTATTTGGTTGCAGGTTACCTTTCCAGATTGGTTCGAGAGTTTCTGTGGAAGCTTATAACAATTTTCTTAAGAAAAACGGTTCAACTGGATATAAATTTCACTGAGACAATGGAAACGTGTATATTGTCAGTATGGCGAGCCCTGAGCACGAAGGCCTTGTTATGCAGTTAATTTACGCATTCATTATTCCAAACAGTGGCATTCATGTCAATCCACCAATTGATATTGCTCTTAAATCATGTAAGAATTCCCTCTAGTTCTTCTTGATCTTTGGATCATAATAACATTTTACATTTTTTTTCTACAGTTCATTACGATCCTTCTAACGTCAGAACAAAAATAGGTGCAGATATTGCCATCTGTCCGCGCATCTAACACTCGTTCAAGCTCCTTTGGATCCTGAACCTCCTCCCGGTGATGTTAATGTACATCATGTCTAATAATATATTACCACATTTTAATTTGAGCTATTTTATCAATATTAATATGTTCACATAGCTAAACCCGCATGCACGAGTCATTGTTGAGGTAGCCGTAACTGAATATTTGGATTTTTTGAATAGAAAATGCGAGAAATGGTTGCTTCAACTATACATACGAAGTGTATTCAGAATAAAAATTTACGATAAACTCAAAGGGACAAATAATCGTACTATGAAAGTATATCTATCTACTTTATTTCTTTTTATAATTTCATTTCTAAGAGATTCTTTTTGATATTAGGCAAAATTGTGGACTCGACAAATTCTAGCGCCAGCAGAAAGTACACCGTCAACATTAGCCAGTGTATCTGTTTTAGAAATCGATCCTCTTAGTATTTCCTGTGATTAAGCATCTTAAAACTTAAAAAAATAAGTTTTGCAATATTATAGTGGGATTTCGGAACTTTACAGTTCAATAGTAATCAGCCTACTGGTTGCACTGGCGCAGGCTTGCCTAATTACACAGTAACCATCCCAGTATCAGATGTCTTTTGGGATCCTCCCATCGTAGCAGGAGTTCTGAATTTACTTGGATATACTGCGGGAATCTCTAATACAGTAGTCGCTAATAATTTTGTCATCGATTTGTATTTATTACAACAAATCGTTTTATTAAAACAATAGTCGTTTTCTTACATAGTTCATATGAAAAAATTTCTCCGTTTACTGCCTATAATTTACAGTCAATTGAATGGATCGAAATGTTGAAAGTTGTGGTAAAATAAGATGTAAAAATCAAGTTATTTTTCAATAATAATAATAGTTCTTGTAAATCTATATTAGATATCAAAAAAAAATTGTTCACATAATATATTTACAATAATAAAGTGATTGATTTTGCTTTTGTTTACTAAATAATTTGTTTAATTTTCCCTTATCGTTATCATGTTACATGAATTTATTTATAGATGAAAATCAAATCGTGTTTTTTTGATGCACATTACACATCACCTGCATAAAGAAAAAGCATGATAAAGCGAATTAATTTATTTATTAATGTAAATATTAAACTAAAATATGTGGCGCAGAAGTCACAGGTGGAACCTCAGGTCTCATACTATTCCTTGCACTATATGATATAACCCACTTAATCTTATTCACTCCAATTTTCTGAAAAAGCTTAAAAATCTTTACACCTTTGAATCTTTTTATGCAAAGTATTTTTAGTAAGCCCTTCTGAAAGATGCTCCTATCATTATAGACTTTTCCCTTGCTAATTGATTACTAACTCCTCTTTGTGCATTTCTAATTTCCTTAACTTTTCTTTATACACCTTCCCATAGTAATACCAACATAAAATTTCTTCTTAGATTGCTTTCATAGCACATTGATAAGCTTTTTGAAACAAGCAGTCTAAAGTCTTTGGCATTCTGAATTTGAGCATTATTATTATTTCCATTATTCGTAACTAAATCCTAAGAATAATTTTCACTATTTTTATTAGGTATATTTTTTGGATTATCTTATAATTAGCAATGCGATTTGACTTCTTTGCTATCCTTTTATCATTGTGAGCTTATAGCTTGATTCTATGTAGTGATTGATTCTCTTGTCTTGCATAAGAGCTACCTTCTATAAGTCTTAGCAAAATCATGAGTTCTTTATCATCCTATCTAATAGTGTTAGTTTGTTTTTTTGAAAATGATATTCATCAGAACTTAGTATCACTTTTTCTCTAAGTAGTTCAATAGTGAAAGAACATAAAGGATATAATGGGTACTTCATTTCTTTTTATATAATATGCTTTACAAGAAATATTCTGTGAAAGATATATCTACAGAACAATACTATAAATGCTTGTAATCAAAATATAAGAATGTCTTTATTATAAAGACTACATAGATTAAGTTTTAGAAGGTCTTTCTGATAAGATATGGTTAAAATGTTTTGATTTCTAAGGTAATTTAATGAAAGTATCCTAAGTTGAAAATTTTCCGTAATGCACATTTGAATTTCAGAAGTACTATCAAAAGTTTGTTGGCAATAGTAGTAGATAAAGATTCCATGGTCATAGTGATATACAGTCAACTCTTATTGTAATAAACTTTATGTTCTAGATCTCAACTTCATTATAAGGCTATAATAAAGATTTTAAGAGATTTAATTAGCTAATTCGCTATAACAAGAGTATTTTTATTATATTTGTTTAAAAAATTTATTATATCAAGAGTTATTATATTAAAAGTTGACTGTAAGAATAAATAAAAATTAATACTTTCTCAGTAATAGAATTTTGAAAAATTATATGGGAGGTTTGTTAGAAAAATATAACTCTAGGAATTTTTTACAAAATTTTGTTTTTTATTATATTTTAGTTTTTGATATTATTAGAATAAGATCTTAATTTTAGTCAAAAAAATTCCCAGAGTCCTATTTTCCTAGCAAACTTTTATATGTAAAAAAATTTCTTTCTCTACCTATCTTAAAGAAGTTTAGCTTTTGAGAATTTCTAAATTAGCATACTTATCTTATTTTTATATATTAGAGATCATTGTAAAATATAAATGATCTTGAATCTTCAATAATAATTCCAATATACTGATCAATTTTATTCTGCATAAATTTCTCACTACTAATTAAATAGATATAGTAAAAAATTAAATAATGCAAATTTTTTATTTGCAATACATTACAAGTTTTATCCTATTTATTAGTTCATTCTATCTTCTAACCTGATACCTGTCATATTCATTATATGATAATTTTAATAATCCATTTTATTTATTATTATTATAATATTTATGAGATCTAATTCTTATAATTAAGAACTAGGAATTAGTTTATAAGCTTTGAAAATACTTTATACCTTTGCTTGCAAATATATAGCCATAGCCAAAAGTATATTTTTACCTTAATTGCATAATAGCTTATTTAAGATTTTTGTCTCTAGTATCTTTTAATAAGTGAGTAATTTCAGAAGAAATGTTATAACACAGAAATTATTTAAGTAAGTATGCACTTTATATGTCGTATAACCCTATTCTTTAGTAAGAGTTTTTTCTGATATTATATTATACATTTCACATAAATCTATTTCATCCTATACTATAATTGCAAATTTTAATTTATTACTTAAAATGTTACAGGTAAATCAATATTCTATTTTATTTTTATATCATTTATTATATAGTCTATAATTCTTATATTTTCTATTATAAATAGGAAATAGTAAGCTTTATGGCTGAAGTGATGTAAAATTATAATTATCAATTTTTTAAAACTATTTTAGAATTTCAAATATGTGAAATACTCTAACACGAATCTGATAATTAATTTTAGATTGAGTTTAATTTTGAAAGTAATAATTTTAAAATTAAAGGCTTGTAATTCTGCTAACATATTTATCATAACTTCTGATAATTACCATAATTTACATCTAATTTTTTTCTTATATGTTTTATATAAATTAAAACAAATCTTATTTGTTAAAATTATTGGTAAACTAATTAGTTTAGCATACTAATTCAGATACTCAGAAGTTAATACTTTATTAAACTTGATCATATTAACTTTTTATATGATTGCAAATTAATTTAAATTAAGTAATAGTCCTGTAAAAAAATAATAAAATGTAAATAAATATAATATTATAAAATAATAAAACTATGTAATGATCTCAATTTTGTACTGTTTATATTTAATAAAATAAGATCTAGATTTATCTTTTATATTTTTTTCATTATTATAATTTAACTTGCATAATGGATATAATGTCTCATCAGTAATATCATAATAATTAAAACTTTTACTATTATATTCTTTATATAAATTAAAATATTGATTTAATGTTTTGTTATGAAAATAAGATCAGTTACAGGTTATATTAGATTGAGATGCAGATAGTACATTTGCTAATGTATTTATTTTAATCTTAATTTAATCATTCATCTAAAAAATAGTTTTTAAAGTCACATGACTTTAATTGTGAAAAATCTTCACAGTTTCATTTGTTACTAAATTTACATAATCTATAATATTTTGTATTTGTGAGTAACTGAGACTTTAAAATAATATCAGCATTGTAAAAGATCTATTTAATTTTCTCTATTCTAATGTATTAAATAATTTATATAATTATCTAGCTCTAAAGATTTTTTTGATACAAATTCTCATCTATTATATCAGATAAAAGCTATTTAATTTCTTGATATACTATAGATATTGCAGTTTTTTTCTTAACTTTACAGCAACAAGGTTATTAATTCTTTTATTATATTTTTCTATAAAATAATACTAGTATAAAATTGCTTCTTGACCAAGCGTATTAGCTTTTCTAAATATACAAATTATATTTATGCAATATCTGAAGATAGATCCTGTTTTTCTAAAGTTTGATCTGATATAGATGTATATGTAGGTGATAATATCTGTTGCTTTAACACCTATTTCACAATTATATTTTTATCAAATTTGACAATTACTTTATCATATTAATTAAATTTAAATTCTTCTATATCATATAACTTTAATTGTGAAAAATCTTTATAGTTTTAAGATTATATGCTAATTTGAATACATTAATTTGTAAATATTTTAATAAAATATAAGATGCTAATCTTATATTTTCAGAATTAGCCTCATAAGATTGTGATAAGTCTTGGTCATCTTACTTTGAAGTTAATATATCTGTGACTTTAAGAATTTTAGTTACATTCTGAGAAATTACAAATTCTCTCAATTTCTCTTCTACTTTTTCTGTTTCTTCTCTTTGATTTCATTGCTAATATTTTCTTATTATCTTATATAGAAAATTGAATATTTTCTCATCATTGTCATCAAGATCATTAGGTATTCATTTTACTTCATTATTAAATTAGTCTATTATAAAATCAGATACAATAACAGTTAATACTATTACTACTAATATCACTTTTTTACTATTTTGTATTTAATTAAATGATAACATTATCATATCTACTACTTAAATTCTATTTTAATAATATAAGTCTAGATTTAAGCTTTCTGACTCTAGACTTAAGTTTAGCATTTTTTAACATCACGCCTTGTATTTTTTTTAATAATTTACTTTAGTCTCACATTCTCAGCTTTAATCTCAGCAAACCTTAATAACTTCTTTTAAGTTCAGAAATCTTATATTCTTCTTTTTAAACTTTACAATTTTAACTAAGAGTTTGAATTTAATTTTCTTAATAAATTGTTGGATAAAATACTTGACATTATTAATAAATTTTTATACAAGAATATGAATTATTTAATATTTTATTACGAATATAAAAACTTGTTTTATTAATACAGAAATAAAAAATAAATACAAAAGTTTAGAATGTAGTTTGTGATATATAATGTTTATATAATCTCAAAAGGACTTGCTAATATATACAATTATTTTTTTGATTATTTTTTTTACACAGTACAGTCAACTCTTTCTACAACGAATTTTGATATAACGAATTTTACAATACAACGGATTTTCATTGTCGGACAGA